ATCCTGCCTACCCCCCAATCTTCATAAATTCTTCCCAACTTCCTGCCTTCTTCCGGAACGGGGAAATTCTCCAGCTTTGTCGAAAAAAAACTATTTCGAGCAAGGGGGCTAGTGTGACCGAAGCGAGAACCCGAGAAAAGTCAAAACCCAGAACATTTTTTCGTAAAAACATACGATCGTCCTAGCTCGGCGTCCCCAGGGTTCGACGTGCCCTCTTTGCCAAGTATGAATGCGCACCTAATTGGCGAGAGACGGGCAAGGGAATCGGAATTTGCCGTTTTCACAGCGGTGGGTGCGGCGTTTTCTCAATTCCAGTTAACCTGTCGACTGGAGCACTGGGTTTCACGTGGGCTACGAAACTGTGGACATGTATGATTATTTTCGATTTTAAATTGCCTGCTGTCGCCATCTACGACCTGGAAGCCATCGTCATTTGCGGGCGCGACGTCGCACGGCGCCCATCAGCGCGGCGAACTACGATTCTCTTGTCACGTACGCTGACTGCACTCTCCATACGCAAACGCAGCGGCAAATCTGTAAGTGTCCTTTAGATTGGCTGTAATGTATGTGCAGTGTTTCGTACTATAAGTAGTGCTCAAACTCAAAGCTCGTTAGAAACCAACAATATAAACAAAACTTCAATCTCGTTAGAAACCAACAATATAACAAAACTTCAATAAGTTCTGCTCGCTTCAGTACTTTCCCCTTCATTAGTTGATTGGGGATTACCAAGTGCTGTACTTCTGATAGACCATTTACAGATAAAAGCTGCCACTGCAAGAAACCTTCTACAGCTAGGTTTCACTCAATCAAGTATGGCATGTGTAGACGCTTTGACTGATATTACCACCCTTTATTTGGAGAAGGTAGCCAGCTGGGTGCAGGAATGTGCAGTCCATGGTGAGTTTCATGCCAACAGAATGCAAACATTTCTTCTTCATTCAGTTCAGTGCACATTGTGCTGCAGCAGAAGGATTTCAGTATGTGTTCAATTTTCGAGACGACGTGCTTTAGTTGTGTCACGTTAGCTTCTCTGGAAAGGTTCTCAAACGATTTCATGCAAATTACTAGCGTCTCTACTGACAGCGTCGATGTTATTATGGGTTCAAGTCAGGGCACATCATTGGTTGGGGATTTTAGTCGAGTCTGTACGACCACACCCCTTTTTTGGGGTTGGTACGACCTCCCCCCTCCCTACGGCTGCTCCCTCCTCATCGAATCGAGCCGTCGAGCGAGGGGGGGGGGGTAAATAGCACATGTGAAAGAGGAAAAGCCGCGAAACAATACGACCCCCTTCTATACCAATTTTCAGATTTGCGAGAAAAATCAACTATCAAAATAAATTTTTCCCAGCCCAAATACGACCCCCCCCCTCTCCTGGCGGCCAAATACGACCCCCTGCCCCTGCTGGGGATTCCCCAACAACGATGTGCCCTGGATCAAGTACTGAAATATGTTGTGCTGCCTGTGCTCGGGTTCTCTATCACGGGATGCAAAACTTCGTCCATTATTGGCAAAATTGACGAAACAGCTAAAAAGTCGCGCAGCACTATAGCATGCTGCATTTGAGTCGAGCCACATGCGATGTATCTACGATTCAACGATCGCAAACTTTAGCTGAGTTTTGCCTTTTGCGTTTTTCTTTCACCGCAAGTCTTTTAGAACTGCATGAATAGGCGCCGACAAGAAGCGCGATTTACTTGGTCAGGCATATAGCGTAAATGGTAGGGCAGCGTGTCACGTGTTGCGTTCTTTGCCTGCGGGTGGGCTTCCGAATGGCATCCAGCTACCACCTTTCTCCACCCTCATTTTCGCTAACTTTCGAGCGACGGAGGAGGCGCACTTCTACAGCTGTGCTACGAACAGTTCACCTCGCACATGGCAAGGACCATGATTTTCGGGGTCAGTGTTTAGGAGAGGGCAAAGAGTAGCGGGCGCTTCAAGATTTAGCGGATAACAAGACTAGGAATCATTGAGAACTCTTTTATGGCCGTTGACACCCTGCCCCTTGAAGCACGGTATCCTAAGCTAATTTTACCTTATTTTTTCAGCCGGGCGTTCAGAGCCGTCAATCACTGATGTTGGAACAGCATTCACGCTAATGAAAATTAGTGAACGTGAACTATATGAGTACATGAGGCAAGTTCGGTCAGTGGTGGAATATGAAGCGGTAAGATTTCCACTGTACTTTCTTTCTGGTTGGGGCTCACTGTCATGCTTCTTGTTTATTTTTGGTGGCACTGATAGAATTGAGGGATAGCCAAATTCTATCATTTGAGTGCTCTGTCAGTAACCCGCGCGGCGGACCATAGTTAGAGTGCGTATACAAGCTGCGCAGATACCACTGCGAAAGCCCAGCGCTTAGCGGTAGAGCGCCCCTACAAGGGTCGCACGATCAGTGTCTCCAATACGCGCGCTCCATCAGCGCGACCAAATCGGTCGCACGATAAATTGAGAAGTATTTTGCACTTCAGTTTTAATTTTTTGATTTTAATTTTCAATTTCATTCTTTTAGTTCAGCTTAGGTTCTATACCAATACCGAACTGCGTACTCAATTCAAACGTGCGCTGCGCTTCTGGAGGGATATTGCCTCCAGAAAATATATAGTTTCAAACAGTTGCAGCCATAACTTGGTCTAGTACAAGATAAGATAACACTTGTATCGAATGGAAATATCCCATGAGGAAGGCATCTTACGCCGTGTTCTGGTAAAATGCGCAGCCACGTCTACTGCACTGCTGGGATCTGCAGTGTACAAGGTGTGCTATAGAGGACGAATCAACCCTGAGCAGTTTACATCACTCCCGCCTTTCGGTCACTAAAAAGGCATTCTTATAGTCAGTTGGAAAGTTTTCAGGCGCCCAAGTTTCCTGTCAGAATCCGAAAATCTAACTATTCTATAAATATTCATAGTCCTCCCAAAGAACTTCATTCAGTGGAAAAAGAAGATCACCTCGCTAGTGATCAAGAGACATCAGGCTTGTAAGTTTATCGCTTCTATTCTTGTGTATCTAGTTCAGATTTTCGAGATTTCTGATGAGCGTTCAAATCTGGCATCCACTGTTAAACATCCTTACCGCTCACGTGATCATTTAAAAGCAGTTGGCACGATAAGTCCCCAAAAACGAGTAGGGTCAGTACACCTGGCAGGACAGAATTCCGCGACCCTAAGCAGGCGCTGCGTAACGCTAACGCCTTTTCCAAGGAATGTACCCTTATAGGGCCCTATCAAACTACAACATACCGACCCGAACGCCCACCACGCCCGCCCGCCCACAAATGGACGACCGTTCCTGATGCTCGTATTGCTTCATTTGCTAAGTAAAATATGAAGCGAAGGATTGGTATGAAGCGGCTGCGGTGCTGCATGGATATATGAGTACACACATGCAGCCGTACCTCGTAGCGGTTATTGGCAGGATGCCTACGGGAAACTCGTCCAAAAGAACGATGGTATTTCCTCGCAGTTTTCTACCGTTTCGTTTCGTTTTTTCACCACTTCTTTAAATAGCGCTCTGCTAGCAGTTTAGGCCGAGTACCATATTATCGTGCCAACTGCCTTTAATAGGCTTTGTAAGTGCATGTGTCACGCTTTCGTTCCTAGTTGTTCAGGAAACAATTGCCGGATTTCTCGGATGCTACAGCTTATTCATTGGGGTTTGTGAGACCGACTACTTCCCGTTCCTGTACGAATCTGCGAAACAATGTTAAGGTGTGGCGCGACTGCTACTGTAATTTGGCTAAACTAATTGACATTGAGAATATTCCGCTCCCTTTATATGTATTATCTACAGCGTACAACGCCGTATTCCCCTCCTCAAACTCATTCGAGAGTAACCAAGAAGCAGTACCATTCCAGTGCAAGCAAAAGAGGCAAGAAAGTTTGTGATGCTTCAGAAACTGCAGGTGTCTCGTTTTTCTGTTCAATTTTCCTGTTCTCTGAAGTATCAAGATTAGCCGCTTACCATTCAAAGAACTTCCTCATTCACTGTTTCACTGGATTCCTTGGAGAGGCATTGTGCGTTCACTCAACAGATAGATCCACAACCGAAGAAAGGTGTTCCCATCATTCGAGGGTGTGACACTATGGAACTGGAGGGATGACAGCTCCATGTTCACCTTGCCTCTGTCCACTATTCGATACGCGCCACGCACGTCACAGCCACGCCGTACGTCCAGCTACACGTACACGTGTGTGAGACGGTTCACAC